TTATTATTATTATTATTATTATTATTATTATTATTATTATTATTATTATTATTATTATTATTATTATTATTATTAGTGGTAGTAGTAGTAGCAGCAGTAGTAGTATTAATAGTATTATGAGGAGGATGATGATGAAGATTAAGATGATTATTATTGCTATTATCGTGGTTATTTGTATTAATATTCATATTATTAGTATTGCCATTGCTGGTGCTGTTGTTATTGTTACTGTTACTATTGCCATTGACATTATTTGTTAATGATGATGTGGTGCTATTAGTGTTAGTGATTGTGGTAGTAGCAGTAATAGTAGGAGAGTTGTTGTTTGCCCCAGCAATTCTTACGTTATTTGATGATGATGATGCGTATGGTAACGGTAACCCAATTGCGGTTGTGAAAGAACTATCAGTCATTAAAGTCGGTGTGATAAAATTACTGCTACTATTGCTACTATGAGTATGACTTGCGTGGCTAGGCGAGAATACAAACGGAAGATAATGTGTCAATGTTGGAAAGGATGAGTTAAGGAAGGAAGTAGGTGCAATCATGCTAGAATTGATGGGTATTGCGGGTGGAGTAAAAGATCCATTGAATAAATTACTATTACTAGAGGTGGTATTGTTGTTGTTGTTGTTGTTGTTATTGTTGTTAGAGTTGCGAGTTGAGCTTCTACTACTACTGCTACCACTATTGTTATTATCAGCCATGGTGGGAGAAATCATCGAACTCATCGTAACATCTGTGTTATTACTGTTATCATTGTTGACTGCTGTCGAAGTTGATGACGACATTGAAGATGACGGCGAATAAGTTTCCTTTGATTAGTAAAGCGTTGAATCGTTGTTGACAATTAATTGCTGTTGATGAAGGTGATGAATGTCCGTGGTACGTTTCTCATCAACATTTGCTCTCTTTGATCATACAAGATATTATTGTGAGATCATGATATAGCTTTATTATATAGACGCATAACTGGTTTCCTTTGTAAATTCAAAAATTTTCATATTCCAGTAATGATAACGCTCAAAAACGCGTATACTCACAGACACCCAACTAAAAAGTCAGTCACTTCAAGACTCAAACAATGTCCACTATTACAAATGTCCACTATGAGTTTGTGTTAAAGCCGGAAATGGTGTTTTGTAAAATTTAGTGCTTAAACCAGAATATAGTTAATTTCGATTTAGAATATTTCAAGAAATCAGTGGATTTTATGTGCAGATCCTTTGTTAGTTGATTATCGTTAATTACCAAAAAAACTGATAACAACGTATTTTCATTAGTTA